TGCGCTGGCTTCATCTGTCTTGTCTTCTTCATCATCCGCGTCGGATATGTCGCTATTTCCCAGCGCGGCAAACATTATATCAGGATCTTCGAGACGCGGCGTTCTTGGGCGTAGTGATCTTCTGGCCGAGTAGAATACTCCAGGAGGTATTGTCCCACCTGAACAAAAAATAATTAGGGCAAAAATAAAAATTACGGCTCCTATAAAAGAAAACAACAAGCACACAGTTGCAAAATCTCCCATAGAACCCTGTTACCTGTTGAGCCCTGGCGTCCTATTTATAGGACACATACAACGTGACAAGCCGTGGACATAATATTCACTCCAGAAGAACCCTTCTGCTACCACTACAGCCTTGAATATATTAGGAACAATGCACGAAATTCTCATCATTAACACTCGAGCAGCTATTGAGTAAAAAAAATAACAAACATGCACTCACCTTCGTTGCTGCCTTTTTCACCATCCGCCATTTTGTTTGTGTACTATTGGTACAGTGTACTAGAATACTTGGGTAGTGTTGGGACCGGAGCGGCTCGGCAACGGGAGCTCGTGAGGACGCGTGTATTGACAGTTCGTGGCGGCGCTGTAGTCAAGTTATCCAACTCGCGCAGCCCGCCTTTTTTTTTTTTTTTTTTTTCCTTTTTTTTCTTTGAGCGGTGCATGTAGCGAAAGCTAGGAGCGCGAGCTCATAGCGTTGGCAGCTGCCCTTGGTGCACGGGAACTCGTGCCGCCAAGATGTGCCCTAGAGCAAGGAGCTCGCGCTTGTAGCCTTTCCTGCGGTACAACACAAGGTGAAACAGAGTATAGGGCACGTAAAAAAAAATCGGTATTTTCAAATCTTTTTTTTTTTTTTAATTTTTGCGGTAGGCAAAGGGTTAATGCAATGTTTGATGGACCATGTTGCAATTGCAGCTTTAAAGGGAGCCATCATTAAAGGCCAACTTAATTTTAAAAGTTCGTGAACAAACAACGAGCTTTGAGCGAAAGTAACAAGGCGTTCGTTTTCGTTGTGTTTGTCCGTCCATTTTCGTTTCTTCCTCAAGCTTAATTATCTCTACCAACCCGCTCGTTCTGTCCTGAGATATTAATCACTAAAATTTTGCCTTTCTTCACTTAATTAAAAAAACTGCGCGCTGAAAGCGCAAATGAGGTTGTGCTGATATTGATGCATAGAAGAATGACGCAGGTTGTTTCTGTCCCCTCGTCACTAACTCGACAGCGTTTCTTCGGTGGACTCGCCGGCGCCACACATCAAGACGACTAAGTTACTATTCTATGTATTATTTTCATAACGCGGTTTCTGAATCAAGCGAAGAAAGGCAAACTTTTACGATTAATTTTGCGAACCTCGTTGCCTTTTCGCGAATTCTCGAAATTGTATTTGCCTTTAATAATGACTCCTTTTAAAACTACAATTTCACCATGGCCAATTAAGCCATTAATAAACAAGTTAACTAACAGATCTTGGTTCATTATTAAACATTGCAACGGTTATTCACCCATTCATTGTCCATTGAACCCTACAGATATAGCGAAAGACGGCATCCACATATCTGCCACATCCTTTTTTTGTAAAATATGTAAAGTTCTGTAAAGAATAAAACAAAAACACCCTGAATGTCTTCGTGAACCAGATACGCCCCCTGTGGAACCATGGGTGTTTCCCTTCGAATACCCAGCTCAGGCGAGACTTACCTGGTTGTCAGAAAGCAGCTGTCGGTTAAATGTATTGTTCTGAGCGTGTAGGTTTCAGATGGTTTACTCTCAAGAGGATAATGCGCTGCATAGTGTAACCATGTATGCGCTGCACATTGTAGCCATTATTTCAATGCCGTGCTGTAAACTATTACAACTTTTTCCTTGCCTGATCTACGTGTGCTCATGTTTTCTGCTCAAAATGATGTGAAATAGTTTCTTGTTTTCTTTGAATCTTATAAAGCATTACATGTTCAGCCCACATTGTCTCAGTTTTTGGACTTAAGTTAAATGTTAAAACGCGTGATAAAAATTGTCACGGCTTATAAGCCATTTCTTACAAGTGAACGTCGGGTGATTCTCGGATGGTCGTGGCAGCCACGAAGAAATAGAAGATTCTCACCCCTTTGCGAACGTCGCTTGGGTGGTTCGTCGCATAAATGGACACAAGAATGAGTGACAGGTGAAGCGAGCTGATTAAGGTCAAGAAAAAGAAGACGGGCAGAAAAGAAGACAGAGAAGTTAACCTGGGGTATTAAAAACATACTAAAACAATCTCGAACTTTAGTATGTGCCGTTTCGTTCCGTTATAAAATAAGATAGGAAAAAAAAAAAAAAAACTGCTTCCGAGTTTTAGATATTCCTTTCAAATATCTAATGTTCGGCATTTGCGACCAAGGAAATGGGCATTTCATTTAAAATGCTCACCATCCGACAAACCGAAACCGCTTCTTTAAAGTCGCAATTGTTTTTATGTAAAGGAAGGGTAATGTAGCTTGTACCGTCCAACACATTGAAGCATCATGTTGCCAACGATCGTGCCGCAGCGTAATTGATGCCGCGGTACGACCGCTGGCAGGTCGTAGCTGTATCAGAAATCCTACGTGCACTCCACCAAAGCGGCACGAAAGATTCATATTTTCGCGCGTGCAGCCGCGCATGCGCACACCTTCCGGATAAGGCGCCGGACGCGACACCTGTCGCGATCAATACCACGCACTTCAGGCGAGCCCCTTCGGTTCCAACACTACCCAAGTATTCTAGTACACTGTACTACTGGAGCTTCGGGGAGGAGAAGGAAGGAGCAAATGATGTCCATGCCATTGGGGATGTTTTCGCCACAGGCTCAGTTCCTGTTTCGGTTTCTAGGCTGTTTAGATTTCATTTAATACTTAGCTTTCTTCACGTCCTTTTTGTAGGACACCAGGGCCGAAAGGGTTAAGCCTGTTTACTCAGATTTAACACCTATCTGTTTATTGATGTGAAATCAAATCCCGGGTGCCCTTTTTTTCTCTTAAAATGGAGACCAACTATCACAAAATGCCCCTTTTCTGAGATATACAAATATTTTTAAAAAAGTCGCAGAGTTAGGTTGTGCTTTTAAAAAGAAAAAAGGCACGCGTGGCTGTAACTTTGGTTTTTTGTGACGTTTAGTGTAGATAGATTATGTTTGCACCATAAAATTGGATCTTTAGTGCCCAACGTCCAACAGCAACTACTTTTTTTTTTTTCACCAGAACTTTTTTTCGATTTTGGCTTTTGTTCTGTGCAAGACGCATATTCTGCACCAGGCGCATACTCTGCACATAATCTCATTCGCAGCACACTTTGAAAAATCACTACAAATGAAATCACTATTCGATGTTCAATTTCATATTCGGCTTTTTTTTCTCGATTCGGTATTCGATTCGAAAACTACTATTCGGTATTCGCACACTCCTAGAGAAAAGTACTTTTGGCCCAGGCTCTCGAAGACTTTCCACTTCTACACGATCATGCCACGAGTGCCAGTGACGGAAGAAACCGCCGACGAAGCCGGCAGGCCCCCGCAGCCGATCGTGCCCCCAACTGCACCATTCCAGCAGATTGGAATGGATCTACTTGGACTTTTCTCGCCGTTAACGCAGGGAAACCGTTGGATAATCGTGACAACTGATCATCTCACCCGGTAAGCCGAGACAAAAGCACTACCTTCGAGAACTGTTGTGGAAGTAGCCAAGTTCTTTTTTGAGTGTGCTGTCCGCCGACACGCACTTCCCAAGTCCTGATTACGAACCGAGGCTCCTCGTTTATGGCACAGCTAAGTCAGGAGATCCTCCAACTCGGCTACACCAGCCATCGTTGAACAACGGCACACCACCTGCAGACTAGCAGATTGACGGAGCGATTAAATAAGACCATCGCCGACATGATCTCGATGTACGTGGACGTTGTGGGCACCCTGGCGGCTCCCCAACCCAGTTGCCCGACTACGGGACACAGGGGGGAACTTTTCCCGCATGGCAGCGAAGTTACGCCAGCCACGCGCACATCGCACGCGCCGCCTAGATAAGGCGGACAAGAGGTGGCGCATGGAGAGTCGCTGGCTGGATTCAGGCGCCGTTGGTGCTCCTTGGTTTTCTGTTAGTTCTATAATTGTTCATGTCCAATTAAATGTAGTTTCTTGTTGTTGAAACTGTTGGCTCCATGTTATTCCTCCGGGTCAGGTATGCAGCAAGGCAAACCAACCACAACGTGGAACACAAGACGTGGAATGAGGTGTTGCTCATCCCACATCACATGTGCATACAACACGGCAGTTCAGGAAACCACTAGGATTACACCTTTTCAGCTGGTGCTCGGCAGAAAGGTGACGATGATGCTCAATGCCATGCTGCCCCACTGCACCATGACCCAACAGACGACGGCACCGACGACTCCCAGCTGGTCACCCAACGGGCTGAAAAGATACACCAGCTAGCCTGCCTTCGCATAAAGGACCAACAACAAGTCGAAGCTGGCCGGTACAACCTTCGTCGCTGCGACGTGGAGTTCCAGCCCGGAGAGCGTCGTTCAGAAAGGGTGTTTCTCCGTCGCTGCTGGTGGCACCAGGAACGCCATCCACCTGTACCTTGTGACATGCGGGCGACCGAGAACTGCTTTCAAATGACTCTTTCATGAAGCTTGTCAACTGATCTAAGAACGTTGGGTGCGCGCACCTTGAACGGGGACGTCTTACAGCGTGCTGAGTGCCGAACCGACCTCGGGGTGTCTACCAACCTGGAAAACCCTTTTTCAAAGACGAAATGAGCAAAAAAAGTGACAATGTCAGTGTGGAAGAAGCGCTCCTTTAATTTAAGCTCAACTAACTTGGATTCATTTCCAGATTCTCCTCCTTTCGTAATAATAGTCACCGAATTTAATTGCGTTACAGTCGTGTCTGCTTTCTAACACGCTTTTTGTATATGTAGATATTAAACTATTTCAGTTTAAGTTGGGCCGGAAGGGAGTTTGAAAGAGGTGGCGTGGACGTGCCCTTGCAGCTACTCCAGCAGACGTTGAGCCTGAACCATCAGTTCCTGGGCCTGGAGCGGCAGGAGGAGGCAGCCCTGCGACAGCTGCGGCTGCGGGCCCTGGCCCTGCAGCTGGTGGTGGTCATCCGGGGCAGCAACAGCTCCGCCCTGGGCCTGTGCGAGGCCTTCCTGGACCAGGTGGAGCTGCTGCAAGCGTGGGTGGTCCCTTTCCCTCCTAGTACCTATACTCAGTTTCACCTCACGTCCGTCAGAGCCAATCCAAGGCCATGCAAACGTCATGTGACCTCGGAGAGCATATCACGGACTACGTCCACGGAGCGGGATTGGCTAGGATAGCTTGTAGCGTCTGCTGCGTCTGGACGTCTGCTGAACTTCCGTTTTGCTTCGGTTCTAATGCGTGACTGCAGAAAGCGTTTGCTCGGTGCATTTTGTTTTTGCTCTTACCCGTATCTCGGACTCGATCTATGAATGCCCGGTTCGGCTTGGGCGGCCTTTACACCGACGAAGCAACGGCGAGTTACCGTTGGGTGCCGCAGTGCCAGTCCTGCGCGACAAGCCTCTGATGCTGGGGAAGACTGAACCTTTAAGCGGCTTGCAGCGAGCACTTCCAACCTGGTGTACAGAGCGAAGGTGTCCGCTAAGTGCTCCAAAGCTGTTTTAGTCGAGCTTAGGGATGTTGGTGCAAGTCCGAAATCTACACCGGTTGCCGTACGCCGACCGGCGATGCTCATCACAAAGATGCAAGCAACGGACTTTGCTATACTAAAACATTCATGAGCATTTCTTGCATAAAACAATGAAACTAAGTTGACTTGCGAGTTTAATGTATCTCTTGTGCAGCCGCGCTAGATATGTGCAGAAAAATAGGCGCTGTTTTAGCTTTTTTTATATTTTTAGTGCTTACCCACGAAGACATGCCCCATCCCACTTCTTTTATGAATTTCAGGCGGCAGGGGGGGGGCAATGACTTTGGATATTACAGTGGGTACAGAATCAGTCCTACATAAGATGGCGCCACTCCTTCTCACAGCTAGGGAGCGACCGTGCGTGGTGTGCAGGTGTGATCTCGGAGATACAGCGAGACCTTTAGCCTTGTTAAAAAGAGGAAGCATGCAGGTCAGGGCTACCCAATAGAAGGCATCTGTGTGCCATCTTTTAGGGGCGAAGCTCCTTAGGGTCTAGCCTTGTCCGGCATCCGTGCTCATATCGATTGCACTGGCTTCAGAATCGGATCGGCCCACTTTAAAAAAAAAAACTTACGCCCGCACGAGGATTCGAACTCAGGACCGCTTGCTTACGAGGCAGACGTCTTAACCATTACGCTTCACTCCAACGTTGCAGGTAGCCGCTCAACATCTACACACGAGGGCACTGCGGTCAAATGCATGTATAATCACGTTAGACTTTGCATGCATTGGCTCAACGTTTATAGACGAGAGGGCGCTGTGGTCAAATGCTCAACTGCGTATATAACCACGTTCAATACCGCACATTCTCTTTCTGACATGGACCGTTGACTTAAGCCGTGGAGATGCATTCCCACGGCTATAGCGGATCCAAGCTGATCCGCTAGAAGAACCACTGGCTCTGCATTTCACCGACCATAAAGCAGTAATAATGATGTCGAAACGCAACCCGGAACTCAGCACTACCTATGAACAATAAAAAAAAAATCTGCACCATCAGCACTACCTATGAACAATAAAATCAGTATCATCAGCACCACCAGAGCTTTGCCCCAATCAACATCATTCACCACGTGGAGATGCGTCTATTTTTGCAAGTGGTCATAAGTGATTGTAACAGTTGGTCGCATTCAAATGCAGCTGTCCGGACCAGCCTTAAGTGGGACCAACTGCGCTGCAACTGCTTATGACGAGATTATTGCCGTGAAATGCCAGGATTCCTAACACAGTCTGTTACACTCAAAGGCAAATGTCTGAACCAGCTTTCAGTGCCAATGTGACGTTTTGCTTTTTTGCATTGTGCAGGAATCGTTTAGCTCTAAACGGCATGTTATAACGCATCCATTGGGGTATCAACGTGATCGCGTTCTCTCGCACTTGTAGTTTTTATGACATCCTTCCAGCTGCAAGAGCAAAATAAATTGCCAGGTCAGGGTGTCTAGCGACCGGGAAAGCTGGGAATCGTCAGGGAAATTTTAATTACCGGAAAAAATCAGGGAATTGTAAGGGATATTGTCGAAAGGTGAGTCCAGTCAGGGAAAATGAGCCGGAAACGCCGTCGAGTGCCTTGAGCAAAGACTTTAGGACTTTGGGTCAGAAAAATGGGCAACAAATTCTGCTTAGAGCGGAGCGCAGACTCTGTTCAACCCGATGTAAAGTGTGCTACTCAATGCAAAAAAAAAAACAGATGACAAATCCAGTCCAAGCCTTGGATTGGATTGAGGGCGGAACACTAGGCTAGATCCAGTTAGAGCTACAGTGCAGTCCACTTATAACGATAATGAGGAAATCCGACATTTCAATCGTTATAAGCAATTATTGTTGTATCTGGACTAGAACCGGATCGTTTCTATTTTAGAAACTCTAGAAACTGATCGTTCTAAGCAGTACATTGTTACATGTGGTATCGTTATAAGTGGATTTCACTGTACTAGATTTAGTAACAAATAGGAAAGCCACAGACCCCAATCTAAGTATCTGAAAGTGTGCATCTGGCTGCCATTTGGTTATTGACGTCTGTGGTTGAGCGTCGTGTTTTCATTGTGCTTCCGGAAGTGGCCTTTTCACTACGATGTCTGCGGCAAGAAAGTGCTCGTTTAATCCGGACTGGATGAACCTGAACATTTCGGAATATGTGAGTTGGATTAAGCCCATGCAAAATGATCCTCAAAGTGCTCAATGCTTAATGCCTTGTGTTGTAATGCTCTTATATATTTAGCCGCCTCTACAGTAATTGGGGAATTTCACCTGAAATTGCCGGGGCAAAACCTGGAAAAGTTGGGAAATTTCAAAATAATAATTTGCTCGACACCCTGCAGGTGGAAAACAAGGAAACCAGGGATGATACTGATTGTGTTTATATGCAATGTGCGTGTTTATATGCAGAATGTGCATGATTAGAGCTTGTTTTGAGTAGCAGCACTGATAGGACACGTTCAGAAACATGATGAACACCATGAGTGTGCGCTTTTGACGCTGTCTCATTGGTTTCATCAGCTCGTTGATAAAAGCCATTTCAAGCAATTGCACAAGACAATGCTCCAAAATGCACCGATATTTTGGAAATAAACACCGTAAAACATGCGCCGATTTAAAAAAAAAAAAAAAAACGCCCGAAAGTACATAGCCTAGTTAAAAATTATTTAAGTTAGAGTACCATAAATACTGACGTTTAAAAGTATTTGCGAGATAGCGAGTTACTCTTAAAAATACTTCAAATAGAGTAACTTGAATGGAGTAGTATGAGTCGCTGAAAAGGAACGCACACTACATCCCACATTGCCACAGCTCTTGCCAGGATAAGAGTGGGGGAAAGGTCCGGGTGGGGAGTGGGCGAAATGGACTGAGCGGAAAGGCCGGATGCTCACCGCAGGTTCCTGGAGCAGCACAGCTTGGAGCCAGACCCATTCACGACGGCCATGCTGCGGGACATGGACGCCCTGGAGGAGCCCAAGCCTGGCTCGGTGGCCAGAGTGCTGCAGCCCCTGCTCCAGGCGCACGCCTGCCCCACCCTGCGCCTCTGCTGCCCTCGCGGGTGCGTTGCCCCTCCTCCTTTACTGCGTCCTCTAATGCTTCTACTTGCGCCCGTCGCTTGAACGTGGTCGCAGCGGCGGTGGTGGACATGGAAGGCTACTGCTGCGGGTTGCTCTGCAACTCTATGGTCCGCGGAAGCTCCGGGGTAGGAACCTTGTGACGACGGCAACACTCGCGTTCGGGGGGACCGGTGGTCGAGCACGTTCTCGGAGCACGTGGTGCAGGAACTCGCACTACAGATCCTGGAGTTCCCGGGTTCAGTCTCCGCTTCTTCTCGATCTGGACAAGCGTCGTACTGGCGTGCGGTCGTGTATCACTACTGCTCGATGCGCAACCCCGGGCTGGTGGTGGTACTGCACAGGGGAAAATCTTTGTCTATGGCGTATACCAGCATCGGCGTACCTCAAAGGCAGACCAACACTGTCTCTCTTTACTTTTTGCCGGGTGGCACCAACCGGCAGGATTGCGGCATCCGACAATGTGACCTGCCAGCTTGCGCGGTTTGTGCTGGCTTTCGACGTCCGGCAGGGCCGCTACCCGCGCCAGTGAAGGACACGTTGCAGGCATTGTAGGCGGCGGAGGGCCTCTTGGAGGCGTCCCGAAGGAACACCCTCCCGTGTTGAGGCTCACATATTCTGGATGCTCGGTACAGTTCTTGGCACCTATCGTCGACGTTTGTAGGTGGACGGGTTGACACATGTCAGGAGGAAAACAATGGGTGCAACAAACGCGGGGACAAGTACAAGAAGGGGTAGATAATGAATGAACGCCGCGTTGGCATATATTTTCTACTTGACCCCTTTTCCGCCGCTTCATTTTCCTCGTACGAAGATGGGAAAGTCGCCGTGGTGCAGACGCCGTTGGATCTGGAGCCCTCCACAACACGGGCAACGCTCGTTTGTGGTTGCGTATAAGGCGAGATTACGCGAAAAATGTGTTGCTTTTTGAGAAATGGGTGGTGTAGTACCATTCAATAGTACCTCTTGACGTAAAGTTGCCCACTACCTTGAAAGGTTTTAAATTGGGCGGAGTTGCGCTTTAAACATAATTTTTTCACAGGATCGCGTAAATGTTTAGTTTCAAATAGTAATTTAGAATGCTAGGTTTATAGGGACCGAGTAATTGGACGGCCGACTGTCAGGGTAAAAAATCATTTACTGGCTTCTGTCTCGTGGACGAAGCTCGTATACCGCGGTTTGCAAATGCTCTCGCGCTGCTGCTGCTGCTTTTGTCTCGCGATATTTGTCCCGAAGGTAGCAACGTGCTATTCAAGATTTGCTTCGAGATGAACTGCAATGTTTGTACGTTTCGAAGCGTCGATCACTGCAGGTTAATTACGGCTGATTTGGACCAGGTGCCTTAAAACTCTTTGAAATTTCTTACGACGAGAAAATGCACTGGCACGCTGGCGCCGTCTATACGGTGACCCTGGAACTGCATTTCACTAGAGCTAACGTATTTGCGATATCCAATGTACCCACGAAAAATGCTAGACATAGGCAAAAGGTTTTAGAGCCCAAAAGGGACAAATGACGGTCGAAAAAGGAAATATACGGGACTGCCAAGTGTTGAAAGGCTGCCCTAGAGGTGGCGCCAGTGTCTCATCCTAAGAGATTTTCAGAGAAAGTTGTAGATGGGCTAGTTGGTCAACGTTATGAAGCGGGGTCTAAGACTCGAAGAACAACGGATACAAGGAAGAAGACACACGCACGGGCATCACTCACAACTACAGTAATCCCTCGTTATAACGAAATCGCTTTTTTGGAATTATAATTTTAATCGAAGTTCGATATAGTCCCGACTGAAATGCATACATTTTTAACCGGATTATTCAAAGTGTATCGGCGGCCGACCACGCTTATTACGAAGGCCAAGCTGTTGAAAGCACGCAAGCCCACACAGAGGTGCACGGAGACCCTTGCGTTCCCTCCCCCTTCTCCATCGAGGCAAACGGCAAATAAGAAACGGAGCAAACAGGTGACGGAGGGCAGAGCGCGCGGAGCGCCACTTTCGATGCCGATGCCCAACTCAGTCAGGGAGCAGCGGGAGCAGCGTCCAGCTTCCCATGCACCTCCTAGCGCCCGCGGCCGACGCTGCCCGGCTCCCATTGGAATCGGGTCGAGGGAGTAATGGAGCTGATAGAGCCAACGGGGCCCGGAGGATATCATCGCTTCCGAACCCCCCGACGCACCCACCGGTGCGGTGGGTGCGCCTGCAGCGTACACGTGCGTCGTATTGCAGGAGTTTTTACCGAAAGTTGCTTAGATCCGCAAGGTTCAGAAAAGGGGCCGACTCAAGTCCGAAATTGCCAAAAAATTTGACATTCCAGCATCGGCTCTTCGACACCGTTCACCGTTTTCAGAACAAGCAAGGCATACTGGACGGTTTTGAGAATTTCTCATGCAAGAGAAAGTACGCCTGTGGCCCATAGATGAAAGATTGCCAACTGCTTTGCACACGTCGGATTTTCTCTCGCGAGGATGCTTGTCGAGCTGGCACACGATTTCCAGAGCTGCATCAATCTCTACAGGAGTGTGTGCAAACATGTTGGCGAAGCCACTGAGGAAAACTTTTATTCTTTCACGCTCGTCGATGCAGGCGTTCCCGTTGTTGCTCCTGCCACGGATGCTGCGATCGTAGACCTTGCGTGCAGCCAGGGTAAACACGAAGCGACGTCAGAGAGATACCTAGGGAAATGCTGACGACTGCGGAGACGCATAACATCCTAACTTCCAAACAAATGGGGGTGCAGCGGTGGTGACAGCGTTCTTGCAATGCCTTGAGCAGTATAGGTAGAACTGATACCCTGATAAAATTATCGGCCAACTTTTGACTCGGTAAAGCTGCCGCGAGTTGTTCATAACCAAGGTTTGTTCAGTTAAATATACGGTCTGGGTGTTCTGCAGAGTTTCACCCACCTTGAAGGGACACTGACAGGGTATTTATGCTTGCCAAGGGTTTTATTTGTACATGACTTATGATAGCCCAACTACTAGGACCCAATGTGCGGCTCGAAATTTGTTTTCTTTCCACCCGAAAACGCCGATTGAGAACTGGCTGGTTTGAATCGCGCTCACTCTCTCCTACGTGGTCCTGTACCACTTTCTATGGTTTAGACACAACCACCAAAGATAATCATAGCCGTGGGTCATCGAAGGTACATACTTAATATTAAAAATAGAAAAGGAATATGATACCCATTTTTTGTGGCGTCTAAAACGCTGCAAATGTGTCGATTGAAGAAAAATGTAGTCGCACAGCCACGTGACTTTTGGTAACTGTCTCCTTTTCTATATTGTTCTTCCTCCCCAGTCCAGTTTAGGCTTTGAGCAGTTGCGTTTTTTTACTTTATTAAAAATATATGTGATGCTGTAGCAACATAATGATTGGGTAGTCTTTTGATACCAAAATAAATCGCCTGGCAAAAAATAAAACTTTTGGGGGCGTCAGTGTAGTCTGATGCCGCTTTTTTTTTTTTTTTTTTTTGCTCTCTCGCTTTTATTGAATTGCCGCTGATATAAAATTTTCTTTTGCCGTCCTGTTGGCTTCGTCCTAACGAGAGATTACTGATATTTTAAAGGGGCAGAAAAGAAAGAAATACCTATCTCGTCACTTTCCTCACGTCCACGCACGCACTTGGCCGGGGGTTACTCACTTTATCATTCATTCACGAAATCTTCTTTCTTGTGTCTATTGTTTTTTTTCACCTTACAGCATGCATCACGAGATTTTAAGAGATTTTAAGGTACCGAAGGAGTTGCAAGTGCAAGTGCCCCTTTGAGTGCGCTTCTTACCAAGCACCAGTGCTGTGCAGACAAGCAACACCCGCGGAGCTTGCTTCCTTTGGTGTTGCTTTTTCACGGTGCACCGGTGCTCACTATAAAGCGCATTTAAATATGAATATCGCAGTCGCATGCTTAGGAAAAAGCACACCTCCAAAGATAGAGGGTACACGCAGGCCCTGGTGTATTAAAAAAATGAAACGGAGACTTTGGGAATGTTGATATTTCCGCTGCAGTAAACTTTTAAAACTGCCTATCACGTAAAAGCATATGCTGGGCAGAGATGTCTCGACACCCCGCATTCATCCTTCGTGATTATTCTTTTTATTTTTTTTTATTTAGGATTTGAAGGAATGATATTTGCATATAGCGAGATTTATAAACCTCCTCAAATAGGTATAGCTGGGCATCTCTGTAGGTCTAATTTTATGTCAGATCTGTCATTTTCTTGTCATCCCAATGTTGGCATTGGACTTTCTGAAGCCACAATCTCTAAATATAGTAAGAATAAAATTAAGTTAGTAATGGACAGCTGGAAGCTTGGAAAAGCCTTCATGTGTTCAACTGGGTTTTCTTTTAAGCATGGTGCGACAGTACGGGAGGCTTGGAAAAACTATTTCATTCGAAAATATTTGGCATAAACCACTATAGGCCTCAAAATGGCCTCAGACTCAAAAGCCACTATTTGCACATGCCTACCTTTTAATAGCATTGTGTACTCGTAAAACTGAGGAACCGCATGACAGCCTTTTCATTACCGGGTGAGCTCAGCTTCCACCCCAGAGATGGACAAGCGAGCATGACTTGCTCGTTGGTGCCACCTGGTGGAGACGAGAATTCCTTCTACGTATCGCATCTTGTCGGGCAGCTCCGCAAGCGTTGGTGCATCGTAGCCAACATCACCGAAACAGCTTGGTTAGGAAATTGCCATGGAAGCCCACCTCGGATAACCGGCTCCGACCCCTGTTTTGGTGCCGAGCTCGACAAGATCGTAGCACCACTGTTTCTGCAGCAGGGGCTTTATTAGGAATTTAAATACCGGAACAGAGAAAAACAAAAACAATAAAATGTTTCCCACGCCTACCAAGTGAACTTTTCCCGACATCTCAAAGTTGCGTAGACCGACAAACGAACGCGTTGACCGCCAGGGGTGGTGCTGAAACTTATGGGTTTCCCACAGTGCCCTCTAGTGTTCACCAACAAACCAAACTTCACTCCCCAGACAAAGTGTTTTCTTGTTTGAGGCAGTGCATGTCCGAGCCACATGCTGGTGCACGTTTATGAAACCTCTATCTCGCCAGTTACGGGGTGAGAGGACAACGTTAGCAGTAGAAGGAGAAACTCCTGTTCATACCCCCTGGAAGTTGCCTTCGTGGCGCCGGTTGTAGCTTACCGTCCATGTCTGGGAATGCAGGGGAGGCACGGGCCTGGAGCGCATCAAGCAGACGCGGGCCACGCTCTACGAGCCAGCAGGAGAGACGGACCTGCCACACAAGTTCACCGCTGGCCTCGTGCTGGCCATCACCTTAGACGCCGAGATCGACAACGTCTGGGACGTCGGGAATGTCAGGGTCAAGGTAGGTCCTCTGCTGTCTGCTCTGCCGCCCTTCCCCGGCACCTCCCGAGACCACCCGCTCATGTGGGGTGGGCCGAGGACGGGTGTGAGGCAGATCGTAAGCGCCCGCATCGGTTTTACAAAGAGTGGTGCCTAGAACTCTGAATGGTGCGCTTACTGTTACGTCACGTCGGTGAACAAGAGACCACTGGTAATCGGTTTAATCAATTCAAGCGCGGCCTTCGTCTGCCCGCGCACCCCGCCCCTTGAGTGCTCGGTGCCCACACTCCTCGAGTGGCCATGAGCTGATAAGAGCCAGTCTGTCAGTCAGTGCATAACACCTCCTCCAACTAGTTGCGGTACCCGTAGCATTGCGGAGGTCGTCGCATTTTGATGCCCCGGTGGGTACCCGTAGCCAGATTAGTGCCAGACGTCGAAGACGCTGACACTGGTTCCTGAGGCAAAGTCGTTGGCTTGTCGCCAGCTCCCGGATGTGATCTGGTTGGTTGGGCCTGACTGTTAGAGCTGTGCGATGGTGGCTGCGTTGGAGCTGAGTTGTCCATCTCTATGTCCCAGACAGGAAGCCACATGTCCGCTTTTTCTTGCACCTCGGTGTTTGTCAATTGTTTTCGTATATGGTTGCGATGACGGTGCAAACCCTTGATCAGTGCAAACCATCCATAAGCGTAGGTTTATTCAATGTTCGACCACTCCAGTAATCCAACCTTGACTGGTTGGAAACTCCTTCGTCTAAACTGCCTGTCCCGCGCTCAGTTCATGTGGGGTTAGGCAGGGAGTAAGCAGCCGGTTTAGCTGCGATGTTCACTGTACTCCTACTCCCTGCAGAGTCTCACTGAGCCATCAGTTTTTCTAATCACAACCACTGTTGTCGCCCATGTTGAATGTTGGACCAGTTCAAGAGTTCCTTGCTTTTGCTGAGCCATTAGCTCACACTCTATAACAGGGCACAAGCAAAAGGTGCGTGCCTTGAGGAATCTAGGGGTAGTTGGTTCTTTGAGCTCCAGCTGGACTGTTGGACCGGTGGACCCCGTGATATTGGACTTGATTATCGCCTTGTGTGCTTGAAGCGCCTTTCGGACCTCTTGACTTGGCAAAAGATGGTGTAACCCGCTGACCAGTACCTTCTGCGCTGGGAACCAATTTCTTCCCATCAAGTTGCACCCAGTTCCACTTGTCACCTTCAACGGAAGAAGGTAGCCTTTGGACTTATGTCTTACTTCGACTTCTGCAGACCCGAGAACATGCAAGCCTTCGCCCGTCCACGTTCAAAGTGTGACATCCTTTTTCTGCAAGCGAGGAGGCTTAAAAGAGGAAGTGGCGTCCTAAACTCTTTTTTTTTATTTACTGTATTAGCCTATCTCCTCTATATTTGGCGTGGTTATGTGGTTTGTTCTGCTGATTTCAAAAATGCAATCTGATTTCAAATATTTGTCCTTTGTAAAAAGGTACAAACATTATTAAAATACTAATTAGCTCATTTCTTACAGGGTTTTAAAACACTTTCTTATTCAAATATATTCTTAAAATTGGTGATAGTTGGTTTCGAGAGACATGACATGCAAGCTAAAGCTATTTTCATTTCTTTAGGACCATATAATCTGCAGAAAAAACACAAGACTACTGGGAGACCATAAATTAAAGGCTATAACAATGCCGAATTATGAAATATTAGTGTTATCATAACAAAAATACCATAATAAAAATAGCTTTAGCGTGCAGTTCAGTTATTCCTAAAGAGAATATTTCCAAGTTCATAAGAATCGGCCGAATAGAAGTTTATAAAAAAGCCCGTAAGGCTGGAGCATATGGTAAAAGAAATGAAGCTGAGAAAATCGACTTTGAAGTTTGAACGTGCATAAGTCTGGATATTTCAACCTCAGGCAGACAGAATCCGCCTGGTTTGAACTGTGGACAAGGGGAGAGACACGTGCCGAAGAAGCAGCCCGATAAGCAAAGGATTTTTAGCCCTAAGAAGAGCTTTTTTGGGGGGTGGCGTCAAAAACGCTGGCTCAGGTGAGGCTGGCTGGTCCTCAAAGAAGCCTGGGACTGTAGTCTTGCACTGTGTCTGCTTTATGCCTTGTAGAGAGCTGCTTCTTCATGCTGTTGCTGTCTAAGAACACCTTGTTGGCCTCATGGAGTCTCCTGTCATCCTTCTCGATGCTCCTCCTGACGAGAGCACTGCCTAAACGAAAAGGTTCCAAAAATTATGGTGTAAAAAATTTGAGCGAGAATCACAGCATGAAATTAATGTCTGTTTTAGTATCATTAGCATTATGAGGGAGCTAAAAATCAAACCCACATGCTTACAAAAAAATAATTTGGGTAAAATTACGAAAACTCTAAAGCCAAGGAAAGGTAGGGTGCTCAAAGCTCTGTGGTCTCAGGTTTTTGTAGGTGCTAAAGTATGTGAATATTTAACTTGCAGTTGCAAATCAAATAGAACTTTCTTGCATTCAAATTAAGTTGAGCATGGATACTTTAAGACATCACAGGTGGAAGTTATTTCTAAAAAGCATACCTATGAGAAGGAAAGGTTTTATTCTGTAAGAAACGTTTCACGTGCTTGTATAAAAAAAAAAAAGATCCCAGAAATGGGAGTTGGAACTCAATGTAACGTGGGAAGCAAAGCAAGATTTCTCCAGCTTAGCTTTATTTTCTCAGCTCGAGAAAATCAAGTTATGAATATTATTATTATTATTATAACTTCTTTGTTTATATGAAATAGTTGAAATCCTCTTGTCAGTTTAATACTCATACTTGATACAGGTCCTATTTGAACCCGAGGTGTTAATCTTATTTTTGGAACTGAATGCAGCGCTCCTCTGCCACGGGTCGGCCCAGCGTTGCACTGCCTCCAAAATCGGCCCACTTTTCTTTATTTGAATACTATAGCTCGAGCCTTAAAATCAGATTTTGAGGTATAATTAGAACCAAAGAGCCTACAACTGGCGAGCAACATTTCCCAGACCATGGAGCCAGTTGAGACGAGCAGCAAGGCTTGACACGCAGGTGCCAAGAGGTGAAGACGCCCGAGCACCCGTGCAAACCGGAACACGAAAAATGGGTCAATTCTCAAGATATCGTAATATTCAAAATATCTGAAAAAGTGGAATAATTCCGATGGTAAAATTGTGTCGCGTAACATAATTGACCAGGGGTGGCCAGGCTGACTCAGCCTAAGAACCGCAAACAAAAACCACGAAACTTGCAAGAGCCGCCAGGGGGGGGGGGGGGGGGGCAGACTTTTGTCCAGAGCAATAAACGAAACTCGAACTACTTTCAATCTATCCGAGTCAAAAGCAGTCCAACTGTACCTAAGGTAGCAGTAGCCCAAGGATACCAAACCACAACCTGTCTTTCGATTTTGAACGCATTGCATTTCTCTTTTTGCGTAAGTGTTTGTGTGACCGGGAGGGAGGCGGGAAAGTGTGTGGGGGTGGGAGGGGGGACTAGGGGAGGGAGCCGCAAGCCGCATTTTAACATGCGAAGAGCCGCATGCGGCTTGAGAGCCGCAGCTTGGCCACCCCTGTCATAGACTATCAGCAGATTATTCAAAGTTTTTAATATTGACTCGCTTATACACCAGCTCCGTGACGTTACGCCAGTGCGGTGGCGTTGCCGTTGGCCCTGCGCACAAGCAGACAGTCTATTTCGCGCGAATCTGGTTTCGGTGCACGTCCCTCGCCCGATGTGGGCAAGCATGGGCTCATTTGTAAGCAGCGTGTATAGCTACCAGTTTTCAGTCCCTTTCGTCTCTCTTGTTCTATTTGACATTCGGATCTGTCCCGAGAACCGTGTGCTCGAGGTAGCAGTCCCAGGGAGTCCAACTTGCAGAACTGTCCCGGTCGGGGCGAAAACCGGCAGAGCCTTTACTGTATGAACCCCGAAGAGAGTGGCTCCAAGCAACACTAGGGTGTTGCAGGTGAAGTACCCGGACAAGCAGGTGCAGCTGATCCTACCCCGCCTGGCCGACTTCCGCCAGCTGGAGGACTTCAAGTACCGGCTCTACACCAGCGTGCTCCTCTCCCACAGCGTCTGGTCCGGTAAGCTCCTCCGCATCCAAAGTGGTCTACAACAGTAGTCCCTGTGTCACGCTGTCGCCATCCTAGCAGTTGGGTTTTGGCAAAGAAGTGCAAGTGAACGTGCCAGAGGCCTTCGTGGTCCACGGCAGCACAACGGACGTCTCCCACTACTGCAACACTGCAGGCATCAACGACGAATTCGTGCACCAGATATCTTGCCACGCGAGAGCTCAAACCAGTAATATTTGCAACCACCCACACACAGATTGGGTGCGACGAGCCGGAAAAGATAAAAACCTTCGAGTAGTGTCTTCACACACACACATGACTCGTTGGAAAAGATTAAATTTTCCAGCTCGATAATTTTTCTTTCTGCAAAGTGGCACTGAATACAAAGAAGGATGTCTCCACACTGTCGCAGACGGATTCGCAGGCAGCCTACCTTAGAGCAGCTACAAGTGCTACCCGCACAAGCGTCCAGCGCAGAGGCCGCCATCTCGGTCCCCGCGTGATACGTACAATGGACAACGCACGTCTTCTTCACTCCGCACGTGCCAAAGCTGCGCTGCACTCGAATCCACACCATGCAGCAAACACGTGCAAGAGAGAGGGGGAAAGGTCCCTCGTGCATTTGAGGGGTCTACTTTTTTTTATAAAAAACATGGCGGAGACCGCAGACCAGCTCGCACAATCGTGGTTGAGTTAGCGACTTCTAGATGGCGTGACGAGCCGACGACTGAACTACGTCTTGCACACCGTCTGTATTCTGAAAAGGGAGAAACAGTTCGGGGTCCACGCACCCTTAGGGAAAGACACTGCTGTTTGAGTAAAAAATAGAATACTGAAAAAAACACATCTTTGAAATTGTGTTTTTGAAGGTTGACAGGCACTTATCATCTCGTCCTGAAGAATTTTGGTGAAATAAGGCTCAATTATTTCTAAATATTGACTCGAAAACATAGTAAAACGAGTCTGTGCATGTCTTTTGCTATTGTTTACTAATGAACAATTTACACACTCTGCTATTTTATGGAAGCCATATCTCTAAATGCACGTATCCAATCATCATTTATTTTTCTTCCGGTAGGTGTATGTGCAAGGTATCCAATAAGATGCACATATATATGTTAAATATGGCATCAATTTTTTTGTTTTTGTTAATATGCTTTATTTAAACTTGCTGCAATAAATCATTTTGAAACTGAAAAATTCAAAAGTGTTTTAAAAAACTTATTACTCCTCGTAGAGCTTTCATTTCTACCTACCCTCCTTTCGCTGTTTATTTTGTGATACGAGTATTTCACTCCTTTGAAATAACAGCAGAACAAATGAGTTGCTACATCAGAACCAAGTCCATATTTGTAAAGGCAGATGTATCCCATAGAGAGAGGCAGCAGAGGTCTTCCAACGGACGGTCCCCTTCCCCGCAGAGGCCCTGCACGTGGAGGTGGGCCTGGTGCTGGACTTTGCGGACACGGATGCGGCCCAGAGCAAGGGCAGCCAGAAGACCGGGCTGGGGCTCCGGCTGGAGGACCACACCATCGAGCTGTGCCGGCCGGTCAAGGTCTTCGTCGCTCCCAAGCCCATCAAGAAGGGCCTCTGAGGCCCAAGGGGGGTAACCCCCTGGCAACGAGTACCACCCGAGTTTCTTGCGGGAGCCAGAATGTTGGCATTTGGAGGGGATTAAAAGAGGCCCCCGGGCACGTGAAGCTCGGCCGATATCTCTTTGCTCCATCGCTGTACTCGCCGACGGCAGGGAGGATTTTCTCCCTTGGACGACACTGCTCGTTGGCCTCGTGCACACGGAGGCGTTCCGGAGGGGTGCCTTGCGGCTCTCACTTGGTCGGCGACTGTTTTGCGAAGGACAGAAAACCAATTCCCGAGATTTCGGAAAAAGCTTGAAACCGCTGGCAACGGTGATTAGATGGCTCAAGCGTCGTTCCCTGTGGCTCTAGTTTCTGCTGCGCGACGGGCGTTGGAGGCTTCGGCTGTGCCACTCCAGCCAGGCTGGCCCCTCCCCCCTACACCGGGGTGCCGGACACACCGACCAGTCGCTGTCCGAGTAACGTTGCAGTGAGAGACAAAAGAACTCTGCGTTGCCAAGTGGCAAAGAACACTGTTTGGATATAAGAAGGGTTCCGTGTTTTCAGTAAGTACCGGCAGACAGCAAAAATGAATTTCGAGCCCGTCTTATTGAAATGGAGGGTAAATCGAAAGACCTTGAATCAGAAGGACCCTAGGTTTTCTGTAAGAGGTCGCAAGTCGGCAAGCCAGAGTGGAAAGGCTGGAAAGGTTGCCGCCATCTATGAGCGATGGCGGCAACCAGACAACTGGCAAGCCAGTTGTCTGTTTGCCGCCGTCGCTCATAGGTGGCGGTAGCCGTATAAAGTTTTGTGTCGACATTTGTTTGTCCGCGGACACTATACTGGGGAAACTAGCCCTTAACAGCTCCACCGTAAAAATTAAGACTAATAAATTTAGCGGGGAAACCGCCCAAATGACGAACCGGACTTCCCATCTTCCCAACTTCTGCCCTAATGGGAAGTCTGGTTCTTCATTTGCACCGTTGAAGACGCTGTACTTTCGTTGGCATAGTGCACGACAGCACAAACATACGACCACCTTTTTTTCTCTTTTTACAGTCTGCGATAAAAACTACCGTGTGTCATCCTAACGTGTAAAACAGCGAAGGCAACAAGTGTGAGGTCCTTGCTTTTCCTACTTGTGGGAGCGCGTGGTAACAATGATAAAATACTCAATTTTTATACTTATTTTATCTGTTTCCTGAGTTCTAGCGATCACTTAATTGATACTGTGTTTCAGCGATCGGTTTGTTTTGTTTAGCGCTCAGTCAAACTGCATTTGTGGCTTTGTTTATATAAACGAGCAAAATAAACAGTGATAATGTAATGTTGTAAACTAAAGTCTGAGTTATAAAAAGCAATATACAGTAAAACCTCGTTATAACAAAGTTGAAGGAGCGGTCGTAATTATTTCGTTATAACCATTAGTTTGTTATAGCCAATGTCCATTTCTTCCCACTATTAGCAAGCAAGGGGAATTATGATTGCTTTGTTATATCCATTAGTTTGTTATATCCCTGTTTTGTTATAACGAGGTTTTACTGTAGTAGTCATTACGCTGCATTTTAAATGCACCAAAATCTGGGAAATCTGAAACCAGATTTTGGAAACTATCTTGCGACAAAAAAGTTTGTAAATTTAGTTTACGACAATGTCACAAACTTTTGAGTATTCCCAAAGCAAAATGTTTGTAAGTTTTGCTTAAGTTACGATGAAATTCGTAACTTACGCAAAACGCGGAGCTGTCAAGGGCTAGTATCCCCAGTATTGTGTCCGCCAGCAAGCAAATGATGACACAAAACTCTGGACAGCTACTGCCATCTATGAGCAACAGCGGCAACCAGACAACCGGCTTGCCTTATTTGATTGCAGCCGTCGCTCATAGATGGCGGCAACCTTTCCAGCCTTTCCATTCTGGCTTGCCGACTTGCAGCCGGCCATGACTTCATTCCCACCATAGTACAGTTTCGCTGGTCTTCCTTCTTCACCAGAGTGGAAAGGATGAAAGTTTTTTCAAGATGTATTACTCAGATACCGATTTTCATTCTACTTACTGCCGGGCTGCAAATTTTATGTCATCCATATTGGATAATTCCTGCAAGATTGAACTATTTCAGCGCTGTACGAACACTTTCCTATTTTCTATTTGCAGGAATTATCCATATTGGATCCAATCCAATCTTGCAATTATCCATATTGGATTATCCAATCTTGCAGGAATTATCCATATTGGATAATTCCTGCAAGATTGAACTATTTCAGCGCTGTACGAACACTTTCCTATTTTCTACCTCAGTACTTTGCATCACTGACTGGAACAAACTACCCGACCATATTGTAACTGAGCAATATCCCATTTCATTTCAAAAGCAGAGCTTCAATTTGTTTTACTGTGAACCTTGATTTGTAAAACTCTATCATGATGATAACATGCTAATAAGCATCTTTTTTTTTGCGATTTTTACTTGGTGTCTATTTTTTTATGCCATTCAATAACTTTGTCTTTTATTTTTGAATCCCCCCTCATGTAATGTGTCTTCGGATACCTTTGACGTTAATAAAATTAAATTAAATTAATGCCTCTGCATCATTTACCCAATTGCTACTGTAGTTCATTTTATCCAGTCCCACTTCTATCATTTCCATTTCATAGGGATTTTTTTTTTTTTTATATATATACAACTTGCATGTTTTTCAAAGGTATACACCACCTAGTTTATCCCGTAAAAAAAAAAAAAAACAACGTTTACAACACCCTGTAACACCGAATGGGAGCGCAGCTCTTGAGGAGGAGGGAAGGGTACTGAGGGGAGGGTATCCCCTCCTCACCTCCCTGCCACTCCTGCTCCCCCTTGTCCTCCTGCTCCCCTCCTCCATTCTCCTCCTCCCCGCGTGTTGCATCATGGGAAATGTCCCATAATGCACCGCGCGAGACTCTCGTGATGTTGCAAGGGTCGTGCGCGGTGCATTATGGAATATTTCCCATAATGCACCACGCGGTTACGCCAACGGCGACGCCGCTCAAGCTGGAAACAGGCGCCTAAGAGCTGTGCTCTAAAATAACACATCTGTCTCAAGATATTACTTTCTTTTTATTTCACCAGAGTATTTGTAGGTTTTAATAATTTTCCTGCCTTCTAAAATTTGTTTTTTTTTAAATCACTGGGCTTGCACAGCTCTCATGTTAGCTCAGAAAAAATAAATAGTGCGAAAACTGGTGTTTCTACGACGTAAATGCTACGCGCGAAGCCTTCAGCTCGGCTCTATAGCGCGGCGCACGTCAGCCTGCTGCCGTGACGTCACGGGAGGTGTGTTCTGGCCTTTTTCTATAGGTGGTGTTGGCCTGGCCTCAGAGGTAGAGTTCCTGTATATAGCTACCTACGGTAGCAGAGTTGCGCATTCAGCCTCGGAGGGTGGCCGTAGCGCCGGCTTTCCTGTACGCCCTGGATGCTTTGCTCGTCAAGTGACTAAACTTGGCGAACAGCGGCGTTGCGCGCGCCGCCGCGCATGGAAAGCAGGAAAAGAGGAGAAGGAGGCGAAAACAGGGGAACATACGCCGGGGTGCGAGCAACGTCGGCGAAGCGATCGTAAAGGTGGCTTTCTTGCACGGCGCCGTATGCTTTGCTCCTCACGTGATGCATCTTGGCGAATGGCGGCACGGGGAAAATAAATACGCAACTCTGCTCGGGGGAGCATATCGAGGAACTCTACTCAGAGGTAACGCAAGGTTTGTCGATGCACGAGGCACATGCAACGTGCAGCCCTTGGGAAAATCATGGCGGCACAGCGCAGCACTAAGCTAGATTTCACATGCCATGAATTTCCCAGAACTTGTGTGCGGCACGTGCCTCGAGCAGTTTTACAACAATGAATGGTGCCACTTTTCCCAGGATAGAGGGGCTTTACTCAGTGCCCACTCGGGCAAACTCCAATGGAGCTGCACGGCCGAGCTCAGCGCGGCACAGCCACTTCACTTGAACGCGCGCTCGGCCGTCGGCTGGGGAGACATGGTTGTCCACGCCACTACGCCGCGGACAAACTATGGGAGCGAAAGGACGACATTCATGCTTTCGCATTAACAACCCGTAAAAAGTGCTAAAATGTCCTCGAAATTTTTTTTTTTTTTTTTGCTTGATTTTTTTAAGGGTCATTCTGGTGATATCTTGCACCGCCTGGTGAAAGCTAGGAGAAAATTTGCTTAAAGGAGTCATGAAACGCTTTTTCAACTTTTTTCTGTTTAGCTTTCCTCCTCAACTCATAAATCGCGCATTGTACCAAGCAGTTCAAGAAGTCGGAAAGGGGGGAGTCCCCGCTTGCTCGGAATCTGGCTTGTATAGCCGGACACAGCCATTGTCCCCCTAGAAGATTAGCCCGTCGCTCAAAATTCCGACTAGTTGCTTTCCCCACCCCGTTCACCCCGAAGCTGACAGTGCTGTGGAAGCTACGTGCTCGTTGGGCCAGCCACACATTTTCCACGTGATCATGCTCTCTCGCGTATACCGACCTGCAGAGAATGAGGTCAGGTGATGAAAGGGAGGCGGCTGATTGGTCTGGCAAGCGCGTAGCTTCCACCGCAATGTCAGCTTCGGGGTAAAGGGATTAAGTGAGGTCCGGTGTCGTGTGACGTGCGCTTGGGCCCTGGTGACGCGCTGCGGGGGCCCGGTTATGGTGGCTAGTAGCCCGGTGACGCGCTGCGGGGTCCGCGGATGTATCACAGTGAAAAGGCGGAGAGTTTACGAAGGGAAGGAGGTACGAAATAGTCCGCTATGTTTTGCAAATTTTCATAGCGAAAGTCAGGCTTCTGACTTTCTACCTTTGTTCTTTTGGCCCACTGAACGATGTGCTATTAGTAAAATCCCAATATAAATTGATTTACTCCAGGCCAAAATTCGTTTCATGGGTCCTTTAAAAGGGAGCAATGTTGGAAGGGAGGGAGGCATCATCTTTTTTAGAGCGGAGCTGTTAAGGGCTAGGTTCCCCAGGAACGTGTCCGGTACCAAACAAATGTCGACACAAACCTACGCGAATTTCAGGAGAGCTACCGCCATCTATAATCGACGGAGGCAACCAGTCTGGTTACTGCCGTCGCTCATAGATGGTGGCAACCGTTCCAGCTATCATAGAAGAATGGATAGTTGGTGTGAATTTATCGTAGGACACAGCGGGAAAGACAGATGAGGACAAAGAAGAAACCCGTGACGAGTCCACGCTCGTGGATTTCATCCAAGATGCGGGGCTCACCATGACCCCCCCTGGGAGGCACCCACTTGATCGAATGACGTTTTAGCGAACGCCCACGTTTCATCGAACGACACTTTAGCAAATAGTAGGACGCCGCGAAGCGGCGTTTTCGGGTGGGCCAAGTGAGTTCATATTTTTGTAATGAGTTGCCGTAGACTGTCGCCGCGAAGCGGCGTAAAGCGCAGCGCGACGGATGGGTTAACGCGCGCCCCCGTTATTCGCTAAAACGACCATTCGCTCAAATGTCGCCGTTCGCTAAAATGTCATTCGCTCTTCTGATATGGACCAGGCCAATAAACGCTTTCTGAACTGAACTGAACTCGGCGCTCGTAACGCTGCGCATGTCATGTGTGTTTCTTCTTCGCCCTCGAACCTCGTCTGTTTTGCGCGCTGTTCCCTACGCTCTTGTCAGTTTCGGTTTGGACTCGGGATGCGTCGGCCGCGTGCCCTTTTCGCGGG